TTAATTAATTAATTTAATTTTTACTACACTCAGCACATAAATAAATTTAATAATTTACATAAATACCCTCAGCGTACACTCGGGGTTGCTTGCGGGTCACCACCGTACCGGTCTGGTGCGGTGTGAAGATTAAATAATATTGAAATCTTCGGTTAATTAAATTAAATCAACTATAATTAATTAAATAAATAATATATTTAATTAATTTCATAACATTTGATGTTTTTTAGATACTTTACTCGGAAGAATTATACAAAAACTCTGCTCAGAGAGGGGGATCTCCTCTATACCTGCACGCTGTATCACATATCTGCAATTAACTAAATATAAATAATGAAATAATATAATAATAATAATATAAATTAAATAAATAATTTATTTTCAAAGAAACATTATTTTTATTTCAGAAGAACAAGTATGCTTTCAACCCTATGGCTGTCTACCGCATAAGAAGTAGCTGTAAAGCAGCAATTAAAGAGAGGGTCTATTAATACTTTTATTATATTTTCCTAATTATTTTTCTATATATATTAATCTGTTTATTGAAAGTAATTTGCATGCATTTAACAGAGACACAGTACAACAATATGCAACAGCTCAGAGCTACGCATACACCCTACCTGCACATACACCGCAACTAAACAAACCCCAAGACAAAAAGAAAACAGACAAAGAGGTGAGACGCCGCCTCAGATTCAGCAGTCTGCAGCAGCAGGGCCGCAGCTAGCTAGAAGCTAGACCACAGCTAGCTGGCTAGCTAGCTAGCTGCAGCAGTTTGCTACCACCTATCTCGTAGCGCCTCAGATAACTTGATGCAGATGAATAGCTAGCGACCACCTGTCCTGCAGCTAGCCAGCTATCTAGCTAGCTAGCTGTGTACCTAGACATATAGATTGTCTGCTGGCCCGCTGCATAGCTAGCTGCCGCCGTTATCGAGACACCTATCCCCTGTCTGGCAGCTAGCTAGCTAGCTAGCTAGCTGCAACCTCAGGGTCTCCCCTCCCGTGTGTGTGGCAGGAGGGGCATCTCTGCTGTTTAACTGAATTTTTTAATTAGAGACAAATAAACAAAGACAGACAGCAACAATCTTTTACTTCTTTTCTTATCCACTTCCTGCTGCACTTGTGAGGCCCCAATCCCTCCCTCAGAAGTATATACACCCGTATAATATATTTATATATATTATATATAGAATATATAAAATATATATATCTAATATATATATATATAAAGTGTTTATGTCTGCATGTGCATGGCCAGGGTATGCCAGCAGATCTTTGTGCTGTCTTCGCACCCTCAGTTAGGGTTTAGGGTTTAGGGTTTAGGGTTTAGGGTTTAGGGTTCAGGGTTTAGGGTTTAGGGTTTAGGGTTTAGGGTTTAGGGTTAAGGGTTTAGGGTTAAGGGTTTAGGGGTGTGTCTCCTAGTGGCTAAGACACCAGGCCCTTCTTGCTTGTTAGCAGGAGAAGCATCTGCATGCGCTGCAGCAACAGAAAAAATGTTTATTTAAATTATATAAAGTAAATGTAAAGAATCCTTACAACCTGCCTATACACCCCAACCTGATACATATATATATATATATATATGCCATATACACCCCGTAGATATCAGAAACATATGCTGCTGCTGCATGTGCTGCTGTTGCATATGCTGCTGCTGCACATGCTGCTGCTGCTACCGTTGGGGTGCACATACACCTCGCTACATACGAAACTGTACACCCGCAGCAAGCACTGCTGCGCGGTTGCTGCTGGTGCTGCTGCAGCAGCTGCTGCTGCTAGTGCTGCTGCTACTACTGCTGCGGCTGATCGTGCTGCTGCTACTCTTGCCCCTGCTATTGTTGCTGCTGCTGCTCTATGTGCAGTCCCTCTAAAGTTGCGGGTGCTGCAGCAGCAGCAGCAGCTTCACAGTGGCTGCAGCAGCACTTGCTGCGCAGCAGCAACCGCTGCAGCAGCCATGTGCTGCTACAGCAAGTGTGGGGCCCCACCCCTTCATAGCCTGTGTCAATTCAGGTGTATCTGGAGATACAGCAGAGTGCTGCAGCAAATAAGGGCTTAGGAGATCATTGGTCTCCTTACTACGGAGGAGGCGATCTCCTTGCATGCAGCAAAGTGCTGCTGCAGCGTGGGGTGAGTTGCTGCCAAATAAGGGCTTAGGAGATCATTGGTCTCCTTACTACGGAGGAGGCGATCTCCTTGCATGCAGCAAAGTGCTGCTGCAGCGTGGGGTGAGTTGCTGCAGCAGCAGCAGCAGCAGCAGCAGCAGCTCCGTTTCAGCGACGTTGTTAGAGGAGGAGATATAATTAGTTGCGTCCAATTCTCTTAAGCCAGTAAATCTGAAAACATGCTGCGGAACGGGTCGCGAGTCGTTGCTGCTGCTGCTACTGCTGCTGTTGTTGCTGCTGCTGCTGTTGCTGCTGCTGCTACTGTTGCTGCTGCTTCTGTTGCTGCTACAATGATGCCCTAGAGACGTCTAGAGTGTACTCATGTTTATTTTGCTGCTGAGGAAAGCGATGCGCCACTGTACGTATGCACGAAGAAACGTGCAGACACAGAACACTGCCCGGGTGCCTCAGCTGCTGCTGCTGCTGCTGCTGCAGTTGCTGCTGCTGCTGCTGCTGCTACTGTATTGAATAATAAATCTTAATCCCTAATGTTCTAATATGTAAAAAAAATTAATTAATGAAGAGAGAAGACACCCCACAAACATGCAGACACCAGTTGCTGCAGCTTCGAGGCTCTCCGGTCCAGTCGCAGCCCCTGCTGCTGTTGCTGCTGCTGCTGCTGCTGCTGTTGCTGCTGCTGCTGCGTGGTGCCGAGCAAAGAGGGTTGTGTTTCTTGTCTGGGTTTAAATACTTTGAAATGTTTTTACTGTAGGAGGATTAATTCTCCCTCCAGACGTTTGGCAGCGGCAGCAGCAGCAGCAGCAGCAGCAGCTGCTGCAGCAGCAGCTAGTGCACGACGAAGGCACAGGGCATTGCTGCTGCTGTAGCGCAGCTTCTCCCTTGCTGGCCACCATCTTTGACTCGTCTCTTCGTGCTGCTGCAGCTCTAGCGTCCCTCTAGCAGCTGGAGCGGGGTCCCAGCCAGCAGCAGCAGCAGCAGCAGAAGCAGGAGCAACAACAACAGCAGCAGCAGCAGCAGCAGCAACAGCAACGAGGCTAGTAGCACCAGCAGTAGTAGTAGCACAAGGATCAATAGCAGCAGCTGCAGCACAAACAATGCAGCAGTCATTCTACTTGAGTATCCTGCTGCAGCAGCTGCAGCAGCTGCAGCAGTTGCAGCAGCTGCAGCCGCCGCAGCAGTTGCAGCAAACGCCCTCTTCTTCGCTGGGGGCTCCTCGAGTCTCCTCTGCAGCTCCTGATGCCTCCTTATCCGTGCACGTGCTGCAGCTGCAGCAATTCAAGAAGCAGCAGCAGCAGCAGCAGCAGCACCGGTGTATACGAGCGCCTCAGGATGTACTGATCTTAGTCGCAGCGGCGCTGCTGTGGGAGCTTCACAACACCAGCAGCAGCAGTATTAGTAGTAGTAGTATTAGCAGCAGCAGCAGAAGCTGTAGTAGCAGCAGTAGCAACAATAGCAGCAGCAGGCAGCAGGTAGACCTGGCAGCGACTTCAGCTGCCTCATCCATTTTATATAGCAGCGAAAGGTGTTGTAAAGAGCAGCAATTGTTGTTGCTGCAACAGAAAATACGAGAGCACCAGAAGCAGCAGCAGCAGCAGCAACAGCAACAGCAGCAGTGGGAGGAGGAGCAGCAGCAACAACAGCGACAGCAAGAACAGCAGCAGCAGCAGCAGCAGCAGCAGCAGCATTTCTTTCTTGATTTGTTTTTAGCAGGACTGCTTAGTGCTGCCAATGTTTGTATTCAGACGCATTTGCTGCAGCACTGGGAAGCAAAAAGAGAAAAGGGACAGCAGCAGCAGCAGCAGCAGCAACAGCAGCAGCAGCAGCAGCAGCAGCAACAACAGCAGCAGGTACAGACTTCGGCGGGGCGCGCGGAAGTGCATCGCCTCATCAACACCACACAGGCCACAGCAGCAGCAGCGGAAGCAGCAGCAGCAGCGGGAGTAGCAGCAGCAGCAACAGGGATAGCAGCTGCTGAACCGGCAGCGACGGTAGCAGAAACAACAACAACAACAACAGCAGCAGCAGCAGCAGCAGCAAGCGCAGCGGCAGCAGCAGCAACAGCAGGTTGTGATGGTCTACCCACGCGCAGTGGCCTTCCTCCAAAGCTGGCGCAGCATCATCAGCAGCAACACCATCAGCAGCAGCTTCAGCAGCAGCATCAGCAGCAACAGCAGCAGCAGCAACAGCAGCAGCAGCAACAGCAGCAGCAGCAGCAAGTGCGTAGGAAGTGCTCTGCTGCTGCTTTTATGTTTCGCTTTGGGGCAAAGCCTCTGCAGCGTGCATTTGCTTCTGCTGTGCTGCTGCTGCCCATCTTGTGCTCACCTGCAGCAGCAGCAGCAGCAGCAGCAGCAGCAACAGCAGCAAACGCCTTTCCTGCCCCACCAGCCCCTATCACCTTCGTTTCAGGAGCAGCAGCAGAGGCAGCAGCTGATGAAGCAGCAGCAGCAGCAGGAGCAGCAGCAGCAGCAGCAAATTCGCGACAGACCGGTGAGGCGAGTCCTCTTGATTTCGGGGGCCCCACAGGGGATGAGGCAGCAGCAGAAAAGAATACAGCAGCAGCAGCAGCAGCAGCAGCAGATGAGAGTGCTGCTGCTGCTGGCGTCTCCCCAGTGGATTTCGATTGGCGGCTGGGCTATGACTCTGAGGAGCAGCAGTTTGCAGCAACATCAGCAGCAACGCCCGAAACAGCAGCAGCAGCAGCAGCAGCGGCATGCGGGTCTTGGTTGAAGGCTGGAGAGGGTTCAGTCTGTCTGCTGCAGCTGCCGCTAACAACAGACAACTTAGCTGCGCTGCTGCTGCTGCTGTTTCTGTCTCTGCTGGGAGTTATTTATTTGCTGCGTCTCTCAGCAGGCATGAGGCGGGGCTGTCAGTGCCGCCTATGCAGAGGAGACTACTCTATTGTTCGCAAGGTCTGCTGCTGCTGCTGCTGCTGCTGCTGCTGCTGTTGGTGGTGGTGGTGGTGGTCCTGCTGCTGCTGCTGTTGCTGGTTCTCTTGTCGCGGTTGCTGCCGCCGTTGGCTGCTGCTTCTGGTGGTGCTACTGCTTCTGTTGTTGCTGCTTCTGCTTCTCCTGCTGTTGATGCTGTTGCTGATGTTGCTGCTGCTCCTGTTGCGGCGGCTGCTGCTGTTGCTGTTGCTGTGCTGTTGAATATGTACGTGTATGCGCTTTGGTTGTAGAGAGGCCTGTGTTTTGCTGCTGCTGCAGCAGCAGCAGCCTCTCCATCTACTGCGTGATTTGCTGTTGCTGCCGCTGCTGCTTTTGTTGCTGCTGCTATTGCTGTTGCTGTTGCTGCTTGTGCTGCTGCTGCATCTCAGTTGGGCCGGGGAGGGTACGGAACCGTTTGGTTGGCTCGGGCCCGTGGCCGCGCTGCTGCTGCTGCTGCTGCTGCTTGTGCTGCAGTAGCTGCTACTGCTGCTGCTGCGCCTCTGCGTCGTCTGGTGGTGCTGAAGAAAATAGAAGTGAAGGACATAACAGCAGCAGACAGCTATCAGCAAGAAGCAAGGAGGCTTTCTAGGCTCAAGCATCAACACGTCGTGCGCTGCTGCCTGCTGCTGCTACTGTTGCTGCTGTTATTGTTGCTGCTGCTATTGCTGGTGATGAAGGCGAGGATTTGTTGCATCTCCTGCTGCAGCGGATCTTCTGGTTGCTGCAGCTTTCTCTGGGTCTCCTTGCTGCTGCTGCTGCTGCTGCTTCTTGTGTATCGTTTCTGACGCATGAATTATCGCTACTGCTACCGTTTTTGGTGGTGCTTGTACCGCTTCTGCTGCTGCTTGTGCTGCTGCTGCTGCTGCTGCTGCTGCTGCTGCTGCTGCAGGTGGGTTATGTGGGGGAGTTTATTCACCAGGAGCCTTCATTTGGCCGTGTCGAGCGGAAGACATATTTTATGTTGCTGATGGAGTTCTGTCCTCTAGGAGACTTAAAACGGCTCATCGATAAACAGTACCGAGCACTCAATGAACGCAGAGTGAGACTATGCATGCGCTGCATGCACCTGCTGCAGCAGCTGCTGCTGCTGTTGCTCCTGCATCTGCTGCATATATGCGCTGCAGCAGCAGCTGCTGCTTCTGCTTCATGTGCTGCGTGTATGTGCTGCAGCAACAGCAGCTATAGCTGTTGCTGCATGTGCTGCATGTATGTGCTGCAGCAGCAGTAGCTGCAGCTGCTGCTAGACGTGGTGTGCTTGCTGCAGCAGCACCTGCAGCAGCAGATGCTGCACGTGTTGCAGCTCCAGCAGCAGCAGCAGCAGCAGCAGCATTTCATGCTTGTGCGTTGCTGCTGCAGATTCGCCGTTGGCTTTATGAGTTGGTGCAGGCCGTCCACTATCTGCACGAAAGAAATATCCTTCACAGGTAACCCTATGCAAGCAGCAGCAGAAGCAGCAGCAACAGCAGCAGCAGCTACTGCTGCTGCAGCAGACACGCAACGCAGGCATCAGCAACAGCAGCAACAAAAGCAGCATCCAACAGTGACGTGGGAGGCGTCCTAAACACTGGCAAGTAAGCGCCGGAGATGATTGGTGCTGATATAGCTGCTGCTGCTGCTGCTGCTGTTGCTGCTGCTGCTGCAGAGATATAAAGAGCCAGAATGTGTTTCTCTCTCAAGAGTGCCACATCCGCCTCGGCGACTTCGGTCTCTGTCGCGTTGCAGCTTCACCTAGCAAACCTCTGCAGCACAGGTCTGCTCAGCAGCAGCAGCAGCAGCAACAACAACAACAGCAGCAGCAGCAGACGCAGCAGGTGCAGCGGCACTTCCTGGGTGCCGCTGCGGGCGCGGGCAGATGTCAGCAGCAGCGGGGACGTGCAGCAGCCGATGCTTCGGCTAGGAGCATCAGCAGCAACTTTGCTGACTTCTTGCAGCAGCAGCAGAAGCAGCAGCAGCAGCAGCAGCGCATGCGTCGAGCTGCAGCAGCAGCAACCGGAACCAAGTTGGCATGGCTCTTAGCGTATGTCTCTTCTTTGAAGGATTTGCTGCTGTCTCCTTTTTTGTCATTCCTTCGATACACAAAAGGCTGCAGCAGCAGCAGCAGCAGCAGCAGCAGCGGGGACGGGTGCGTGAGCAGCAGCAGCAACAGCACGAAGGGTAGCTACAGGAGCAGCACAACAGCAGCAGCAGCAGCAGCAGCAGCAGCAGGTGCAGATACACCTGATAACAGCTCGCTGCTTTCTTTTGCTGGTACTGACTGCTACATGGCCCCGGAGGTTCTCTTAGGAGAGACGTACGGGAAGCCGGTAAAACAAACTGTCTCCTTTTTATCTCTGCTTTGTCTCCTTTTTGTCTCTTATTTGTCTCCTTTTTGTCTCTTCTTTGTCTCTTCTTTGTCTCTTCTTTATCTCTTCTTTGTCTCCTTTTGTCTCTTCTCAGTCTCTTCTTTGTCTCTGCTTTTTCTCCTTTTTGTCTCTTCTCTGTCTCCTTTTTGTCTCTTTTTGTCGTTTTGTTTGTCTCTTTTTGTCTCTTCTCTGTCTCTTCTTTGCCCCCTTTTGTCTCTTCTTTGTCTCTTTTTGTCTCTGCTTTGTCTCCTCTTTGTCTCTTCATTTATCTGTCTCTTTTCTCCTTTGGTTTTATCCCATTGTCTCTGGCTGTCTCCTTTTGTCCCCTTTTGTCTCCTTTTGTCTCCTTTTGTCTCTTTGTGTCTCCTCTTTGTCTCGTTGTGTCTCCTCTTTGTCTCTTTCAATTTCTTTTTTGTCTCCTCTCTGTCTCCTCCTGTCTCCTTTTTTGTCTCTTTGTTTGTCTCCCTTTGCGTTATTTGCTGCTTGTGTGGGCTGTCTCCTCTCTGTCTCTTCTTTGTCTCCTTGCTGTCTTCCTGCTGTCTCCTTTTAGTCTCCTCTCTGTCTCCTTTTGTCGTTTTGTTTGTCTACTGGTTTGTCTCTTTCTGTCTTTCTCTTCTTGCCCCTGCTGTATGTCTCTGTTTGCTGCTGCAGTTTGTCTCCTTTTAATTATTTATCTGTCTCCTCTTATTTGTTTATCTGTCTCCTTTTGTATGTTCATGTATCTCCTTATCTCTCTCCTTTTATATCTTTATCTGTCTCCTTTTATATCTTTATCTGTCTCCTTTTATATGTTTATCTGTCTCCTTTTTGTTTAATAGGCAGACATTTGGGGCATTGGCTGCGTGCTGCTGGAGTTATGCGGCGGCGTCTTTATGTGGGAGATGATTTCTCCTCCTTCTCATTTGCTGCTGCAAGAAACCCCACAGAAGCAGCAGCAGCA